GGGGGCGCGGAAAATCGTGCTGTAAAGCGATTTAGAAATCGCGCATGCTCAAATCGCGATTTTATGACGATTTTGATTAATCGCTCAGCCCTATATACACATATATATATATACTTTTGATTAAATTATAGTCAAGGGGAAAGTTGTATGGGTTGTAGCCTATTCTTTTGGAATACAGTTGTTAAAAAGTTAAATATTACAAAGAGAAAAATCTGTATAAAAATGTAAAACAGATATTTGAGGTTCCCTCTCAAGCTTTCACGAGACATCATGGAGACATTTCTCCGTTATGGGAACTCCTTCCCTTCCAACCTTTCCTGAAGTCCTATTGGCTCACGCCAGTCCAAATGACTGGCCAATTGTCGCGAAGTATGCAAATCGCGTGCAAATACTGACGCGCTCGAAAGGCAGTATAAAATGCTCCTTCACTTTGCTGAATAACCTAAGAATATGGCTTATAAACTATTACAGCTCACTTAAGGTTCGCTCATCAGAGGGCGGTGCCTGGATTACCGCTCCTCTGCAGCGTTCAGGTGAGTATGACATTTTTCTTCAGATGCCAGATGAGTCCGTCTGCCCTCTATCAGTCGTGGACCTTAAGGACTCTTCATGCCGACAAAATGTCCGCATTCCTCTCACCCATCGAACCTGCAGGACATCAGCCCGGCTTCTCACATCCCCCTTCCATGGCGGAGCAGAGAGCCGAGTGCAGATACTGGAGCTAAGGGTTCTCTTGTCGCCGCAGATGCCGCACGACCCACGGTCTAAAAAGTGTGCAGCTCCCCACCTCAGAGCGGCGTTCTGCCATGTGCAAAGCACAATGACTGGCTCCTCACTCGTTCACACGATACCAGCCCCTCATCAGCGGCTGCCGTGTTTGGAAGACACTGCTCTCTCATTCACATGATACCAGCCCCACATCAGCGGCTGCCGTGTGTAGAGGACTCCGCTCTCTCACTCATTCAGGGTGATATGCAGCCCCCGCTTCAGTGCGGCGACAAGCGCTTCAGTCGCTTACCCACTCACCAGCAGTAAAGCGGCAAGGAGTCACCTGATGCCCCTGCTTGGAAAAGCGCACGAAGGTAAGGAGTCACCTGATGCGACTGTGCGGAAAAGCGCGCAAAGGCGAGGAGTCACCTGATGCCCAGGCGCGCATCTTATCAGCCTTCCAGATTTCGCTGGACTATTACGTCAGTTGTTCACCCCCCTACGAAGTGGTGTTCAGCTAGGTCGAATAGCCATTCACAGTCTGTAGTGACAGGCGCAGATGCCGCCGCCCACACCGGTTAAAATGCACGTCATGAAAAGCAATGAGCCTCATTATGCCGAGGCGCGCTTTCCAGCAGCAGACCGCGAGATCGAGGTCTTCTTTGGCACACGGCTCATCGCAGTGCAGGGACACCAGGCCCGCGACCGCTGCTGCCAGGAGCCGGATGTGCGGAGAAAAGTGTAAAGGAACCCGGGAAGAGGCACTATGGCAAGCGGAGGAGCTTGCGCCGTGACTCCCGCCCGCCGTCAGCTGCCAAGCCGTCGTCCTGACCAGACAGAGAGGAGGGAAGAGTAGCCTACGCGATCGGCCCAGCCCCCAAGCTGTCTCAAAATTGTTCAAATTGTGTTTGATGTGTGTGTGGGATCATTAAAAAATGCATACATGTGCACAAAAGAGCTCTTTCCTCCTCACTCAGTCAATGTAGCGCCGCTCGCCCCTCCTCAGAGCAGTGCAGAGCCGCTGCTCACATGTTATAGCCGCGCAGCACTCGCTGGTGCATCCAACGACCATGCCGCTAAAGCCGCTATGTCAGTTCCTGAGCACGTGGAAAACTATTCCGGGAATCTCGCGCTGGTTACTCGGTGTGATAGAGCGTGGGTACACCCTTGAATTCAGACGCAGACTACCCCGTTTCAACGGCGTGGTGAAGTCTCTAACATTGCCTCGAAATGCCCTGGTTCTGAGACAAGAGGTATGCAACCTGCTCGAAAAAGGAGCGGTGGAACGAGTCCCTCCGAGCGAGTTGGAGAGCGGGTTTTACAACCGCCATTTTATGGTGCCCAAGAGAGATGCAGGACTCCGCCCAATTCTAGATCTCAGGCCCATCAACAGAGCGCTCTGCAAGCGTGCGTTTAGGATGATAAAACAGATCCTGGCGCGAATTCGCCCTGGGTACTAGTTGCGTCCGTGAACTTAAAGGACGCATACTTTCACATTCAGATAGCAGCGCATCACAGACGCTTTCTGAGATTTGCTTTCGAGGCACAGCGTACCAGTACTCTGTTCTCCCGTTTGGGCTGGCTTTGGCCCCGCACACTTTCTCGAAGTGCATGGACGCAGCTCTCGCCCCCCTCAGAACGAGTGGGATGCGCATTCTCAATTATTTGGATGACTGGCTGATCTTAGCTCAGTCACGGGACACACTATAGACAGCCATATAGACAAACTGTTTCGTCACTTGGAGTTCTTGGGGCTATGTGTGAATGTGCGTAAGAGCATTCTCGCCCCGAGTCAGTCTATATCCTATCTGAGAGAGTGCTTCGACTCGGTGGAGATGCACGCTCGCCTCTCTCGGGAGCGCTCGGCGGCCATTGTCTTCCTTGCACCATTTCAGACTGGGCAGCTCTGTTCACTTGAAGTAATGTCAGAGGCTGCTGGGACTCATGGCAGCGGCATCAGTATGTCATCTGGGTTTACTACACATGCCTGGGTTTACTACATATGCCCCCGCTGCAGATATGGCTGAAATCGAGTCCCTTGGACAGCGTGAACTTCGGACCGTTTGCGCATCGCGGTCTCCCGTGGCTGCATCGAAGCCCTGAGGCCGTGGCGCAAAGATCTCCTCAGCCGGAGGAGTTCCCCTGGGCTTGATGACATCACGTGTTGTGGTCACGACGGACGCATCGACTTGCGGATGGGGAGCAGTGTGCGAGGGCATGCCGGCTTCAGGGCTGTGGACAAAATCTCAGAGCCGGTGGCACATAAACCGCTTGGAGCTGGAAGCAGTGTTCTTAGCTTTAAAGGATTTACGGCTGCAGCTGGACCAGCGACATGTACTGATTCGCACCGACAACGTCTGTGGTGTCGTACATAAATCACCAAGGGGGCGTACGATCCAAGGCTCGGTACAAGCAGGCAGCGAATCTCCTGCTATGGACGGACCGTCACTTTCTCTCCATCAGAGCAGCGCACATCCCCGGTCTCTGAACCGTCTGAACCGCGGGGCAGAAATGCTTTTGAGGAAGGGGATTCCTCAAGAAGAGTGGAGGCTGTATCCAGAGTCGGTTCGGATGATTTGGACCCGCTACGGGAGAGCGGAGGTGGATCTGCTCGCCACGAGCGAGAATGCGCACTGCCCGCTGTTCTTCTTCCTGTCTCACTCCCGGCTGGAAGGGGACGCTCTGACATCGCACTGGCCAGCAGCCTGGCTGTATGCGTTCCTTCGATCAAGATAATGCAGCTGGTGATATGCAAGATCAGGGAGGAGG